ACATAATATGTAAGTAAAATAAAATAAGAGATAAAAAATTATTGTCAATCAAGATGTGCTTTTTCTCTCTTTTTTTTTTTTTAAATCAGTAACACAGATTTAGAAAAGTAAAATAAGAAAATTTTAATTATTATATGATTATTATTGAAATATATATAATTGAATTTGAATTGTAATTGAAGTTGCTAAATATATATATTAATTTGAATTTGGATTATAAGTTTTTTTTAAGTTAAATATAATTATAGTCAAATAAATTTCGAATCTTATCAATAATTAAAAAAAAATTATTGAGCATTTATTTGAAATTTTTTGTATATTTTAAAAATTTTGTTAAATATTTTTAAGGTTTATTGGGTATGTATTTATTTAAAATATTTTAAATTTTTTAACCATTTTTATAATGTGGTAGGATAAAATAAGATTATACGGAAGTAACTTGCAATAATCCAAAAACAAAAAAATGAAAAGGGAAGAAATGAAACAAAATCATCATCAATGTCAATCAAGGAAAGCTTTGTAAGATGCCAAATATGGAGGAGCTGGGTGCAGAGCCGGTTAGCCAACATTATGTAACCCATAGGAGTTGGGGCACGTGATGGACCATAGTCGATAGACTCCTGAAACTATAGCTCAGCATGATTAGAACAATCTGGTCACCGTCTCCCAGCTTCTTGTATCTCGAGATTGTCGTGGTTTCAGACACAAGCAGTCCCCATGACGCCGCTCTTGTCTCCCTTGGATTAGAAAGGTTACATCATATTTGGTCTATTTAATTAAGTAGTAATATATATAGGTGATCAACTTTTTCATTTTATGTTAAATTTACCTCTGTGATTTGTTAAAAATAGACCTTTCTTATTTGGACTTCATGACTTGATTAGTTATATATTTCTTTGTAAGGTTTATTTTTCAATCCTAGGACTGAAATTCGAATTCCTCTTCCTGATTTGTAATCTGTTAAAAAAAAAAGAAAAAAAAAAGAAACAACATACCTTTCATATATTAGGGAATTTAGTAAAAATTATTTTTTAAAAAAGGTAGTAAAAATTATTTTTTTATTAGTTTTCTTAAATGATTGAACTTTGATTAATAAATATGATGGAAAACAAACCCATTTGCCATTAGAATTTAAAGAATCATTAAATCTAGATTAGAAATCATTAATATTCATTGATGGTGATTTTCCTCTTTTTTCATTTGCTTAATTAATTTCTCCATATACGTATTATCATGAGTTAAGACGTCTTTATCTCAAGGGCTTTAATTAGCGAACACAAATCATGTTTAGTAAATGTTCATGTTGGAACAAGGTGGACCATTTGAGTAGATAATCCTCTGGTCGTTCACGTGATTTTTGTAATAAACATTGTCGATTCGCCTTATCCGAAAACGATAAGCAGCCCACCGGTGATGAGTTCAAATAATTACGAGAATCTTAAAATGTTACTTAATAGTAATTATGATTAGTTTTTAATTTAACAAAATCTATGCACCCTAAATCAAAATACATTTACTCATTTAAAGTTACGGATAATTATTCTAATCAATCTATAAAAATTGTTTGTATATTAGCTCTTCTGCTGTACTGAAAACAAAGAGGGCCAGTGAACTAAACATATAGGCAGCAGGATGTTTTCTCAACGGATCATTAATTTTCTCATCTTGTCATATGTGCTAGATTCATGAACAAATTAATTAATGCCCACTCAGTGATGAAGATGATTCGAAGGAAAGCCAGCAGAGGGAGGGACCATAAATGTTGCTAGATGCGTGCATATATTTGAAATTAGGTCCACAAATCTAGAGTGCAAGAGATGCTCCCTGGTCTCTGTTTCTTGATACAAATTGAGTGACCAGATTCTTTTAATTATGGAGAAGAAATCTCTCAACGAATATATATTCAGCTGAAAACAGCAAAGTTTCATCAATTATCTTTCGATGGGTTGAGTATATGGTGTGTTTCATCGTATTAATCAGATATTATTCATGTTCTTTAATTAATCGCTTTTGTTGTTACAAGAAAGTGGGTGGCAACAAGGTTCCGAAGGAGAGGAAAAGAGACATGTCATGAGTGGGATATGAAAGAAAACCTGCAACAGAGGCATGCATCAGTGCTTAACTAGAGATTGAAGTTGGTCTTCAATTTGGCACTTCAATACTCAACATAAGTAAGCAATCATGGTTAACATCATGAGAGATTTTCCCTGTATACCTTGTGTGTTAAAGCATGTATAGTAAAGAAAATAATGAAAAAACTCAGTTTAATGTCACATGACATCATTATAATTAATATTTAATTATTTTATATAAATTCACATTTATATATATTTAACTCTCAAGGAAAATACTTTTCTTTTAATGTATAAATTTTTTTTTAAATCACATTAATATTATTTTATTTAAATTATATTTAAAATACTAAAAATTTTTGATTTAGAAAATAAAAATAAAAAAAAAAAAAGGAAGAAGAATCCATTGTTTGCTTTTTCATCCAACTGCTTTAAATGCCGATTTTAAAATGCCACATCCCACCTACAATTAGAGGTGGCAAAAATTTATCCGACCCATCAACCAGACCTTAACTCAATCAGTAAAAACAGATTATGGTTTACATATCTCAACTTGCAACCT